GCAGGTCTCGAACCCGCGGGCTCAGGCAATCCACTCACCTCAGCCTCCCAAAGGCACGGGATTACAGGCTGAGCCACGAGCCCGGCTTGGATGAGCTTTGAGGCAGATTGTTGAACTCCTAGCTTCAAGCTATCCTCCTGCCTTGACCTCCAAAAATGTTGTGATTACAGGCGTCAGCCACAGCGCCTAGCCTTTTAATTTAACTTAGTAGCAAAAAACTCAATTTTTCAATTAAATTTTGAACTGATAGAGACATATGATATTTGTGTTTATTGGGGTCCATGCAAGCAAACATTGCGCTATTATATATTTTCTCAAAGATAGATATATTACCCCCATTTTATTCAGGAAGCGACTAAGGAACACAAAAATTAAGTAAGTTGCCTATGGTTACTTAGGTTACACTCAGCACTTTCTGAAGCTATTTTCTTTCCATATACTATGCAACAAAATCAATTATGCTATGGTATCTAAAGGAAACCACACCAATTGCAACATGCAAAGAAATCCAAAGCCATAATGCAAATTTTCACAGAATACATTCATTTCATAACTTGGTTTGCAAACACAACAAATGACATTAGTAATTGGCTAAGTAAAATCTAAAGTTTTAAGAACAGAATTTTATCATGCCTTATTTTGAATAATCAGTTACCTCAAATTGATTGAAGTAGAGGTGCAGAAGTAAGCCAGAAATCCTACCAAGATATTGCCATTGAGAGAGAGAGAGAAAACACCAAAGACAGAGTAAGAAAGAATGGTCATCTTTACTTCAGGTGATGTATTCAAACTCTTTTAAGGTTATAAAGTGGAAAAATTATGACAAAATGACATTTTCAGGCATGTTTTATTTATTTATTTATTTATTTAGAGTTGGAGTCTCACTCTGTTGCCCAGACTGCAGTGCCATGGCCGCTCCCGGCCACCGCAGCCTCGACCTGCTGGGCTCCGGTGATCCTTCCGCCTCAGCCTTCCGAGTAGCCGGAATTATAGGCATGCGCTACCACGCCCAGCTGATTTTTTGATTTATTGTAGAGATGAGATCTCGCTGCCCAGGCGGGTCTCGAACCCACGGGCTCAGGCAATCCACTCACCTCAGCCTCCCAAAGGCGCGGGATTACAGGCTGAGCCACCGAGCCTGGCTATGTTTTATTTATTAACTGTCTCTCATTTTGTGATCAATTAAGAGATTCAAAATATTGAGTAATGAGAAAAAACAATGTTAAAATATCTTTAAAATTGTCTACTTGTTCTTTCCAATATTAGAATATACAGCAACAATTTTAAAATTATCTCAAATAAAAGGTCCTTACTTTATTTGGTGACTTAATGTGGCATAAGATTAAACAAGGTAAATGAAAATTACCTTCACTGCAGCAGTGACTGCGGCAGTAGCTGCTAAGTTTAAACCTTGCCGTCCAAAGTTTACCATGGTCTCATAGCCTCGTTCCTTTGCTTGTACAATATAATCATCAATTTCCTGGTGGGAAAGAAGTCATATGTTAATTTTATTTAAAGACAGCATTAGAAAGCCCAAAATTAGGACATTCTTTCCATAAGATAACAGTTTCCCAAATTTTACAGCATTAAGCATCTGTTGATAGACATTTCTAAAAATTGATTTGTGGAAATAATTTATATATCTTACCCTTTCCTTTGAAGATAGAAGTGGATGAAGGAATTTTCTATATATTAAACTTGCTCCTTTGGTATAGGGAGAGAGCAGCCATATAACAAAAGCTATCTTCAGCTCATAGTACAGGGGAAACCTAACAAGAAAGCACGGGAAAAAAACTGCTGGTGAAAAATAAACTACAATCAGTGTGGAAAATCACAAAACCCTTTTAAACAAAGTTTAGTCACTATGTTGTTTTCACATGTAACAATTAGTGGTCAAGGAGATAGCCATATTTTAATATCGGCAAAATCATCTTGTTTAACTATAGATCAGTTAATGAAAGCAGGACCTGAGACATTCACATCTTCCAACACAAGAATCTTCCTTTGAGTAAACATAGGAAAGAAAAGGTGCCAAACTGAATGTGGCAGTTCAAACAGGGCACAGGTAGCATTTAGCCCAAGCAGTAAGGTACACCCAGCAGAGCCAAACTGCCAGGGAAGTGTATGACCTACCTCAAAGTATCAGGGCAAGGCTTTATATGTTACAAGTGCAGTGTTTACCCCACGAACACTGCCCTTATTGTTCTCAGAACTCCTAGAAAACTTCCCTTCCAATTTTATCTGGCCAGAATTGCAGCACTTTGCAGACCTCAATTGCTGAATTGCAAAGGGAATGAACACTGTGGTAAACTGCATGAGGGCTATACTCCCATCCCCTTTTCCATGTGCCTTTGCTGTGCTTTCTCTGTAGGCCAAGTACACTTCTTTAACCAACGACTGTGGCTTTACTCATGTGATTTTGCTTAGCCAGAATGTGAATGTGACACATGTCACATGCAAGCAGAAATTTTAGCCTTTTGACTCCCTCACTCCAACACCTTCAGCCTCTTGCTTTAAGCTTTTGCCTTCTGCCATGAGAATAGCTGCCTCTTCAGCCTTGGTCCTACAGTAGAAGACATTTAAAAATGACCTGACCCTGGCAATGCTGCAGTCAACCATTTGCCCTCATGTAGCTTGAGCAAGAAATACAAGTTTGTTTTTCCAGCCTAATGTGCTTTATAGTTGTTTGTTGCCACAGCAAAAGTTCACTACTATATAATGAGGAGCCCAGTATCTTGTGGTCCTGAGACAAATGATAACTGAACAAATTTGGGTTCCTCTGTCAAGAAAGGCAGGTAGAGGGCAGTGAAAAATGACTATTGTTTAGTCAACAAAGAATCTCCACCACACTGAAATTACAGAGGAGTTTCTGGACTTCAATTATTCATGTTAAACTTTTTCTATGTTGTTCAATTTAAAATAATGTATATAGGCTACATTTGCAATTAGAAAAAAACATCTTTCTAAAAAGAACTTTGAGGCTGGGCATGGTGGCACACACTTGTAATCCCAGCACTTTGGGAGGGCAAGGTGGGTGGGTGGATTACTTAAGCCCAGGAGACCAGCCTGGGCAACATAGCGAAATCTCATCTCTATTAAAAAAAAAAATCAAAAAATTAGCTGGGTGTGGTAGCATACACCTGTAGTCCCAGCTACTCAGTATGCTGAGGTGGAAGAATTGCCTGAGCCCAGGAGGTAGAGGATGCTGTGAATCATGATTGTTGTAATCATGCCACTGCACTCCAGCCTGGGTGACAGAGTGAGACCCCTACTTGAAAAAAAAAAGAAATTTTAAACACAGACACAGTAAGGTCTAAAACACGCAAAGAAACAGAAACAAATGAACAAACATAAAACCCTACACCAAAAACATAACAGGTAAATGGATGAGCTTTGAGACAGAGGAAGGAAACAGAGTATTTCTTTTTTTTTTTTATTTGGAGTCTCACTCTGTCGCCCAGACTGGAGTGCAATGGCCGCTCCTGGCCACCTCAGGCTCGACCTGCTGGGCTCCGGCATCCTCCAGCGATCCTCCCGCCTCAGCCTTCCAAGTAGCTGGAATTACAGGAGTGCGCTACCACGCCCGGCTGATTTTTTGATTTGTTGTAGAGATAAGGTCTCGCTGCCCAGGAGGGTCACAGACCCGCGGGCTCAGGCAATCCACTCACCTCAGCCTCCCCAAAGTGCGGGATTACAGGCTGAGTCACCGAGCCTGGCAGAGTATTTCAAATCATAAGAGAAATATGGGTGCAGATACATAGCTGTTCAAAAACAAAGTCAAGTTGTTAAGAATGTTTTTGTCTGATGACTTCTGTTTTTTTCTAGCAAATGCAATGTGACCTGATATGTTATGAGAGCATGAGAGTAGTAAAATGAGAAAGACAGACTAAGGAGAGAACAGTAAAGGTCTGAAACAGACACAGACCGAAAAGTAGATAATGACCAGAAGCAAGTAAAAGAGATGAAATTCGAACTGATTACATATAGGAGCAGTTGATGGATTTTTTCAGCTGTACCAGTAGTCTAGGTTAAGAAGTAAAGAAGAAGCCGGGCTCGGTGGTTCAGCCGGTAATCCCGCGCCTTGGGAGGCTGAGGTGAGTGGATTGCCTGAGCCCGCGGATTGCCAGAACCCAGCAGGTTGAAGCTGCGGTGGCCGGGAGCGGCCACTGCACTCCAGTCTGGGCGACAGAGTGAGACTCCAACTCAAAAAAAAAAAAAAAAAAAAAAGGAATACCACAAGGAGCCAAAAGTTATTCAGCAAGTATTACTTCTCGGTACAATGTTAAATCCTCGAGGACATTAACCTTCTTTAATTTTGCCTCATCTGTTTGGAATAGAGTGGTCAAGGAGCTGGCATTGAGTGGGTGTCCACATGGGCACTCTGTTTGAATGTTTGTAGATGACAGTTTTAAAGATGGGGAGGGTGTACTAAAACCAGATGCTGTGGGCTTCAAAAGAAGAGCCACTTAGGAAGTAATAAAGGATGACAACCAAGGTTTCCTATTCCTGGGGGGAGGTGTGTGGGAGAGGGCAGGAAATGGCATATGGGGAGGAAAATGAGCTGCCTTTATTTGAGGGGGAGTGAAAAGGAAAGTGGTGTTCTTATGGGGAAAACAGATGAAGAAAGTGAGTCTGAATAATTAGGTAACTTAATAAAATTCGGGTGTTACTAGCAAGAGCAGGATAAGAACTCAGGGCACCTGATAAGGAGACTATAGTCTGGTCCCTTTTTTTTGTTTTGTTTTTTGAATTGGAGTCTTACTCCGTCACCCAGGCTGGAGTACAGTGGTGCACTCACGGCTACCCCAGCGTTGACCTGCTGGGCTTTGGTGATCCTTCTACCTCAGCCTTCCAAGTGCTGGAACTACAGGCGCATGCTACCATGTCCGGTTAATTTTTGATTTATTGTAGAGATGGGGGGGTCTCACCATATTGCCAGGCTGGCCCCGAACCCATGGGCTCAGACAATTCACTCGCCTCAGCCTCCCAAACTGCTGGGATTACAGGCTTGAGCCACTGTGCCTGGCCTGGTCCCTTCTTTTTTTTTTTTTTGAGTTGGAGTCTCACTAGGTCG